CACGATGGTCAAATGTCGCTGATTTTACTACAGAGCAGGACGGATTATAGGGTAGCAAACATCGTGGGAAAACACGTTTTCAACACTGCAGGTTACCTGGTGTAATGTTTTTCAGTTAAAAAGAAACATGGTCTGACTCCTACCTAACTATATAAAGAGTAACTGAAGGTTAAATGCAGCTAATATGTCCTGTTTTAAGCCAGACACTTACACCTCCGCTCCGCTGCATCTCAGCCACCATCGCTCTGGCAGCAAGAGCGCTAGAGCCAGAGCAGGGGAGAGCTGGAACAAACCATTTTGGGAGGGGGGAGGGGTTATGTATACTTTTGTTGTTAAAATCTTACGTTTCAACCAAGTACTGAATGCTTTTTATATTTTTAGTAGTGTGTCACACAAACAGCAAATATTGTCCAAAAAAAAAGGAAGAAATCTTTGGGGGTGCTTTGATTCATTTTGGGGGTGCTGAAGCACCCCCAAAAATGGGCTAAAATCGCCCCTGATTATTACATTTATCATGTTTACATTTCAGCAGTTGCCCACAGATGACACCATCTGAGGGCATGAGCTGTGATTTTAAATTATTTTTCATATTGTATTCACTGAAGTAAAAGTATGGTGAGTATGTTGAAAACTGAAGTGCTGATTCGACTTCTTTACTCAAGTAAAAGTGAAAAGTATGAAAGAAAAAAGCGGCTCCTCTTTAAGCTATTTTTGTCATATCCATAGAGCAATACAAATAAATTAATGCAAGGGAATATAAGCTTTATTTCAACTTAACTTCAACTTGGATATATTTTATGTGGAACATGCAAAGAAGAAAAAACAAAGGGAATAAGAGAACAAAACAAAACTCTGTTTGTTGCTGTCTGTGCTGCAAGTGGTGTCGCCACACCTAAACAGGAAAATGAATGTCGTCAGTGGTTGAAGTGTGACTTGGCATGTAGGTTGTAGCGGTGTGGCTTGGGGAAAAGAACCACTCAGAAACAACTTAATAATTTGTATTGTGAGCCTCAGTACATTTTGTGTATGGGCTGTAAAGAGCTGCTCTTTGTGGATTCTCACAACTGAATTCAACAAGATTCAAGGCGATGTTACAGGAAGTATTGTGGCTGATTTCCAAGACACGGTCCTAACAAACCTCTGGCAGACTGAGGCTCAGCGAGGGGCAGCCAGAAACAACACACTGTGGAGGAGAGCCAGAGATTAATAATAACTAATAATTAAATGCACAGTGGTGTATAAACACACAGAGAGTAAAAAGTGAAGAAGAAGAAACACTCAGTGCATCACGGGAAGCCCCCAACAGCCTAGGCCAGTGTAACTACAAGGGGAATTCAGGGTCACCTGATTCAGCTATAACTATATTCTTTATCAAAAAGGAACAGTTAGTCCTAATCTTAAAAGTAGAGAAGGTGTCCGTCTCCCGAAGCCAAACTGGGAGCTGATTTCACAGAATAGGGGCCTGAAAGCTGAAGGCTCTGCCTCCCATTCTACTTTTAAATACTCTACAAACCAAAAGTAACCCTGCAGTGTCAGAGCGAAGAGCCCTAATCGGGCCTGATTATTCAAGACCTTCTGTGTGAGGAGAAGCCAATATGGGAGAAATATGCTCTCCTTATCCCTGTCAGTATTCTTGCTCGAGGAATTTGGATCAGCTGAAGGGTTTTTCATGGAGTTTTTAGGGAAACCAGATAATAATGAATTAAAATTGTTCAACCTAAAAGTAATAAATGCATGAACTAGTTGTTCAGCATCACTCAGAGAAGATTTTTTTTTTAATCTTAGGGACGTTGCGCAAATGCAGGAAAGCATATTTGTTTACTAGTTTAATAATAACATGGCGTGTTATTCCTCACTTATATTATATATATATATATATATATATATATATTATTTTTGTGAGAGAATATTAACTGAAAGTATAGTAGAGGCTGCAAACACTCTGTGTGCTTCCCAAATTTAACTCAATAACTAGTGAGAGAGATTTTCCTAATCCCGTCAAAGCTCAGAGTGCCTTGTTCTTTAATGCTAATGTAAATGTAAATCATCCAGAGGCTTACAAAGGTAAACGTATGTTTTCAGTGTTCTGGTCTGGATGTGATCAATTCATCACTCATCCAAGTGACTTCTTCAGTGTGAGGAGGTTACACAATAACAGAAACTAGCACCGTTGCCTAACAATGACTCAGTTTCATGATTGTTAATATGCAGATCGCCATGACCACCGATCATTGGTACCATTCAGCGAGAGGAATGGGGAATGGCTGCAAACACAGCATTGTAAGATGGCGAAAGATATGTTTTCGCATAAATGACCTCCTTGCTTTCCAGATAAAATCAGAGCTCCTTTTTAATGCTTTTATTCAAGAAATCTGGCAAGTTACATGATTGTTCCTCGTATCAATCTGACACATAATTTATTGAAAACCATAAAAACTTTCTGCGGGTTTACAAACACAGGAGTGACAAATAAACATTTTTACACATGCTTTGCAATTCATAGTTTTTTTTTTATTTTCCCCATTTCAGAACTTCCTTTAATTTCACATTCCTTCCTGGAACAGCTAAAAACCCAACAATATTTCCCCCTAATCCAAATTCCCCAAACTCTAAATGTTGATTACCTGAATGCTGATAGCATGGCTACTTCTCCTTCCTGTCCAGGCACATCCTCATCACTGAAGGAGTGGCCACTGGCCCTAATGTGTAAACAAACTGCAGAGTCCCGTGACATCTGATTAGCTGAAGGTTGTTTTGTTTCCCTGATGTGTAATTCACAGCAATTCTCCCGGCACCTAACAGCGTACACCCGATCCGATCAGTGGACTGATTTTTGGAGTAGCGTGTTTCATGTGTCCTGATACTCCTGACACATAAGGGCTTAC